CAAAAAAAATCCCCTCCCAAAACCCCCCCCCCCCCCCCAAAAAAAAAAAATAATTATGCCGGTGATCAAGGTTTCCAGCTGTTTTTGTTTTAAATTCAACCTTTTTTGTTCTTTTGTCCCCCAGCGGTGTACTGGCTGCCACGGAGACGTCTCGAAGGACAGTCCGGTTGTTTACGCAGAGCGCGCAGGTTACCATGACGCCCTGTGGCACCCCACCTGCTTTGTGTGCTCAGAGTGTGGCCACGGCCTGGCGGACCTGGTCTACTTCTGGTCCAATCAGAAGCTGCTCTGCGGACGGCATTACTGCGAGTCGGTGTGGCCGCGCTGCTGCGGCTGCGACGAGGTGACACGCCTACTCTGAATGCATGATGATCGTTTCTTCACTTTCAGCTGCTGCCTTTGAGTCAACGCTGCTTCTCTGTCCTCAGCTCATCTTCTGCAAGTCGTTTATCACGGCGGAAGACGGACGGACGTGGCATCTGCAACATTACTGCTGCTGGAAGTGCGGCCAGAGCCTGGATTCGCCCTGTCAGCACTGATGAAACACATCACAAGCAGATGTGATTATTATTACTGCAAATCAAGTGCAACATGGCTCTTTCTGTTTGTAGACAGTTTTAACATGTAAATTCTAAGTAATAAAGAGCTGAATTATGTTTTTAGCTGACATGTAAGGCTGTTTATTTTCTGGCTCCACTGACACAGACAGTAAAACGGTTATGTTAGTGCATGAAACACTTGAAGGGACATTAAACTGTCCACAAAGCACTTAGAGACTCACCCAGAAATGTGTTTAAAATGGCTGAAGGAACTTCCTCTTGATCTCTCAGCTCTTAAAGCTCTGGCAACAGCTTTGTACGGAAGCCCAGAAGTGATATTTCAGGAAAACATCATAAAACCAAAGAAATAATATGTATAACAAGGAATTGCAGCATCCTTAAAAAGTCTTAAAATCATGTACATAAAATTAAAGTCTTAAAATATCTTAAATTTAAGGCCAAAGTAAGTTGGCCTTAAATACTGTAATCATAGGTCATACACATCTTGTCAAGGCAGGACTGTTTAATGTTCTATATAGTTATTTATTTATCGCAGGACTTTTCTGTCAGGCAAAGGTGTGAGTCACATGCAGAAATCTTCACTGCGTTCTGTAACTCGAGGTGGTTCAGGCTACCGCTACCTAGCTGCTAATATACTCTAGCTAACCAGGTTTTATGCCATGGGTAAGTTTATCATCAGTTAGCTCGCTATGGCTAGGTATTCTTGGGGGTTAGGGACTTGACACCTCCTCTAAAAACACTTGTAACTGCCCATTTTAACTATTTAAACACCAAATGTATCTTAATATGCAGTAATACACACAGTAGAATCGGTATTAGCACAAGTACGACAGGAGCTACCGTTCGCTATCTCCACTCTGAGGTTCAGCCAATCACAGCAAAGGAAGATTAATGCCGCTCCTGGATTGGCTGCTTCACAAACGTCAGCCAATTGCATGTCAAGTAGAATTGCGGCTACAAGTAGGCGCAGTTTTCTTTCAAATGTTTTATATATACTCATCAACAAAGCCTACTATTATTCCTCAAATAATTTGGAGTCTCTTTCCACAGAAATTCAGTGAATGGAGTAGAATGGGGGTCCACTGTTGTTGATATTTTAAATGTAGGATCTTATAAGTATCTGTATTTTTTAAAATTGCGTCGTGATCTAAAAATGAATGTCAACTTTAGGCTTTAGCAAAAAACAAAGGAAAACGTAATGCAAGTGCTTTAAAGGGGCATCAGGTTGGATTACATACCTTCCCAGTGCTCAGCTGACCTACTCCCTGCAGGAATGCGAGGTATTCCGGTGGTCTCTGAGCCGACGTTCCCGGGAAGTGCCGTCACCCAGCTGATCCACAAAAACAGGTTGGGTTATTTTTAGTCCTGAAGCGAAACGATTTTAGTCTGATTTGCCGGGATTTGTGGCTTTTAATAGAGTGCTGTGTAATCGTAGAGATTTTATGGAGGAGCTGGATGCATTAATCACTTCCTTTGGTTTTTGAAACATAAATAATACACCAAGGTTTGAACTAATATGGTCAAAATCAGACATCGAAGGCTTCCAGCTACATTATTACACAAATAAAACTCACATGTCATTGCTGGCAGCCATCTTAGGTCTTCACAGCACGTCTCTGCTTTCATTTAATGGAAATTGTGCCTGAGGTTTGAATGGATGTTTGAACATTCAGTTACTGACTTCAGTTTACAGCTTCAGGAAAGACATCAGCAATGACCAATGGGAGTGATTGTTGCTGCCTAAAAAGTCTGAGAATTATTAGAAGGGTTTGTAAGCAAGAAACATCTTTAAAAAGCTGCCAGTCTTGAATCACATTTTCCTTTTTTTTTTGTTTTGTTTTAAATACAAAAGTCTCAAGCCGTAATCTTTGCATTGTTTCTGATACGTCGCTAACAACAGTGATGGACGAGACCATTTATCGGGTTACTTTCTGCTTCTAAAACCGATGGAAAAGACTGTTGTGATAAAGGGAGTTAGCCTAGCATCTCAATGCTAAACATGTAGCAGTAATAGTGTAGTAGTAAGCAGTAAACATGTAATGTTAGCATCCAGTCCACACTCCCAAGGTATTTTTGCATCACTTGAAAGTTGAACTTTGAACCAGTTTGATGGTTAAATAACCTAAATAACAAATTAAGAATTATAAATATTTGTTGTTCAGGTTATACGTATACCTTTTTCAATAATTTAACAGCAAAAGAGACTTTGAATTGAAAATGTTGCTTATTTTGTAAACTCTGTTGGTTTCCATTAAAAAGTTTAATTGCAGTCCATGAAATCAACTCTAGTTATGAGTCCCACAACTAGAAAACCCAACAAATATGGAACCATCTGTGCAGCAGCTGCTGGCCCTAACAGCATCACCAGGATCCAAAACACAGCAGCAGAACGGACCAGTCAAAGCCCAAACCTCACCCTGGTGGAAACGGTGGTGGAAGCTGTGGAGAAACTAACGTCTGCAAGAACAGTGGACCCAAATGAGTCAAATTTAGACAGAGGCTGCGCTTATTTATTCTCATCAGTTTTCTTTTAATCATTTTTATGAGAAATTTGAAATCGAAAGAGAAAAGCTTTTATTATTTTAGGAAAAGTCAAAAATAAATTAGATTAACTGATAAATCTGGATTGTTGCTGATTTACTGTAAGCAGGAAACTTCTGCTGCCAATGTTTTAATCCCCTCATTTCAGTTATGAAATGATCATCCATCCCTGGTATATCCTCTGCTGTAAATATGGCAAACAATTAACCCATCAGTCATGTTTTGGACTGGAAGAAGCTGGAGTACCTGGAGAGAACTTATGCATGCACAGGGAGAACATGCAGAAAGGCCCCAGGCTGGGATTTCAACCCAAGGCCTTCAAGCTGCAAAGCAAAACTCATAACTGCTCCACCATGCTGCCAAACTTTGATTTCATCATGTTATAACTAACACAGAAAAGGCAGTTTAAGTTGTGTACACATATTTATTTCTTTTTTAAAATTAAAAATATAAAAAAGACAAACATATCCCTACAACAAAATGCAAACAATGCAGCAAAGCTGCTTCAAGCTGTTAATCCTCTTCTTAGGAAAACATTTTCAGCCATTTGTATTATTTAATCAATGTAACAATATTAATCTTGGTCTGGAAAAAACATAGAAAAGGACAATTTATAATAATACTGTAATTCAAAGGAATACTGCTGTGCACTAAACAGCTGCTATTCATTATGGCAACCAAAATTAACAGAATAACTTCACTTCACTACAGACATTTGATAAAAGATTCTATAATTTTCCATAATTTTGGGGGTGGGGGCAATCTGAATTTCCAGAAAAGTCAGCATTCTGGGAGTAAAATCATAATTTTGTTTAAAAAATAAATTCTGAACTTTGAGATTAATTTCAGAATTATTTTATCCTGAATCCTTTTCCACACAAAGGTGTTGACTCATTCATTTATAGGATTATTTATTCCTAATTTAGACCCACAGAAGTCGTCTCCCCAGCAGCTTTTCTGTTTGTTTTAAACACTGTAAACTCTGGAGGTGACGCACTTTAGGACACAAAAACATCCGAAGAATTAGACCCAACAGTTCTGTTTCAGCATAATTTCAGTGTAATTCACAATTTTTAGGATACCACTAGCTATGTTTCCATAAGCCATAAAATTGAAGTAACAAAAATAAATACGTTTAATGGAAACACACTAATTTCCTCAAAAACCTCAAGTTTTTCCAAGACAGATTTTTGGGCTGGAATGAGGTGGTTTTTCAGCCATATCAAAATGTATGCATTTGGTCAGAGTGCAATGGAAAGGCTTTGTTGAACATCACACGTGACCAACAGCCGGATGTTACTGCTGGCAGCAAAGATGGTTGGAGGCTGATGGTTTGTTGTAGTCAGCCATTTTACATTAGAGCTATGGATTCAACACGATGGAATGATGCACAACTGTTTATGATCCATGATGCTGTGAGAACTATGATGGAGCCAGCTGCACATTGTTCTAAAATAAAATAAAAAATATTCACCATCCTACTACTTTCTTCTTCGATGTTGTCACCAGTAGTAACATCCGGCTGTTGATCACTAGTGCAATGCTTGGTGGGGGGCGGGGGTTGTTTTCATTGCATTTTTGCTAAATACATATGTTTCCATATGGCTAAAATTTCCCCCATACTCGGAAAAACTTTTTATGGTGAGTTTTTCAAAATTGGCATGTTTCTATTAAGCAAATTTATTCTCATAATTGCAATTTTATGATTAATGGAAACGCAGCAATAGACAAAGATTTGCGCACGTTTGTAATGGAGAAACGTCTCCTGATATGCTTTAGTTCGTTAGGATGAGCCACTTCCTTTACCCTGTGTTCTCATCCGTAATGCTGTCCTACTCCTTGCTGTCCTCGTCGTCCGGCCCGCCGCCCTCTGACGGTAATATCTTCATCGATTTGACGCCTCCCACGTAAAAGATTGGAAACATTTTCTCAGACCAGCTGTGTGAGAAGGTGCAGATGTGCTTGAGGGTTTTTGGGTCGGTAAAGGACAGTTTTCCCCTCTCCAGGTCCAGATGGATCCGGATTGCCTGAAGCTTTCCTGTAACGTGGAAGCTGGCGGGCGCTCCTGGGGAGAAGTAGGAATATTTTTCTTTGGAAAAACAAACAGCCCACAATCCTGACTTGAACTGAATCGGTTTCTTCCTTTTGAACGACTCTTCTGCAACGCCAACGAACCAGCTGCTGCAGTCTGCCACCTCCACGGTCCAGAAGTGGACGCCCGCAGTGAAGCCCCTGGAGGCCGAAATGATCCCCTCCGACTCAAACCTCTCGGGATTCCCGGGAAGTTTCTGTCTGCTTCCCCGCCTCACCGCAGCGAGATCCTCACAGATGAAAAGTCCCGGTCCGGCCGTGTTTGGGTCCAAAATCACTGGCGTACGGGACACTACTTGTTTGACCTTCTTCCAGGTGTTAAAGCGCAGGTTGCCCAGGTGTTTGGCCACATCTATTAGTGCTCCGGCAGCCGGCTGGGGCAGCTCCGGTAGGGGGCGCTGCTGCTCCGTTCCTGCAGCGCTGGAGCTCTGCAGGAACGCAGCATCTTTACATCTCAGTGTCCTCTCTGCAGATTTGATGGTGTCATAAAGAGCAGCCATGACTCCGTCTAGAACCTTAATCTTCTCGTTCACCTTCAGACTCTTCTGCTCCTCTTCCTCCTTCACCGCAGCCACCCTGACCTCCTCTTCATCACGCAAAACCCGCTGCAGCATCCTGAACTCCTTCCGTATCCTGGCCTCCGTGAGTCGGGCCTGGGAGTGAATGTGTTGGGCGGTCAGGTCCAAGTCTTCCTTGACTTTTGTGAAAAGCTTGAGTTTCTCCTGGAGGGGCATGATGGACTTCCGCAACGCCTCCCTGCGGTCCTGCGCCACCTCAGCTGCGGGCCGGAAGACGTGGCCGCTGTGCTGCTTGGAGTCCCTGCAGATGAGACACACTGGCTGCTGGTGGTCCAAGCAGAACAGCTTCAGTTTCTCTGAGTGCAGCTGGCAGACATCTTCACGCTCCAGGAGGAAAGCCTCGCACGTGTTCTTCAGCACCAGGTTGCACGTGGGCTCCTTGCGGTCGGAGTCGCAGTTGCAGACCGGACACTTCCGGATCTGTTTCTGCGTCCACCACCTGCTCAGACAGGCCCTGCAGAAGCTGTGGCTGCAGGACAGGAGGACGGGGTCTCTGAAGATGTCCCGACAAACGGGGCAGGACAGTTCCTCTTCTAAATTTGAAGCCATGTTGTCTTAACGCTGACACAAAGGTAAAAACAGGAAGTTAGATCAGCGATTCGCTCTAAATAAAGTTATTTTCCAGTCTGAAATAAACTTACGTTCAGTTCACCAAGTCAGTTGGGCGACAAAGTTTACGATTCCGGAGTCTTTGAGGTCTCCAGAGGTAAACAAATGCTGCTTCCGGTGACGTCTTGTCGAAGCCCGCCACAGCCATACGTGAACACGGCCGCCATATTGGTCAGGGACATATCGCTTCCTAGTGTTAAGGGAACTGCACTCAACAACGGCGAACTGCTCCCACCTCCTGCTCATCTTGTGGTTGCACTGCAAATAACACCCCAAAATCTAAACAACTTTTTTGGTCTACTTTCTAAAGTTTTTGGGATGGCTCTTTTTACTTTTATTTGAGTAAAAATATGTTTAAATAGTCCTACTCTTTGTTGAGAACAATTTTTGGGTACTCTGCTCACCTCTGACTGTTGTGAATTGTTAATATTTTTGCTACCCTGATAGACCTGCACCTGGTATTTATCTTTTTCTGGGACTCTAAACAGGTGTCTGTAAATCAGTGCTGTCACCAGCTCTAGTCCTCATGTCTATTTGTTCCTCTTTAAAAAATAAAACAAAACCACCCCTTTAATTCCAGGCTATCATTGTTTTGGTACCTGTGTATTATGGAAAGCAGGAGGTGATGTCCCACCCCTTAATGCACTCTGCACTAGCAGGAAAAAACATATTTTCAGTCAGTTTGATTTGTGATTTTGTCTTTTCTGATAGATTTTGTAATTTTACATCCAGGATCTTCAGGAGAATTAAGCGAAACCCAAACTCCTTGTTTTCATCCTTGTTCTCAACTAAGGCCTTCTGTATGGCCAAGAACATGAGTCTGCTCCCTCAAGGTATTGAAGCTCAGAAGAAATGTTCTCTAAAATGTTGTCATGCTTTTTAGTTACTGTAACATTTTAACACAAGCTTATTTGATCCAGAAGATGCTGCAGCCCTGCAGCTGCTTCCAGTATTCCTCCCTGCTCCACCTTACTAATTTGGGAGAAGAGTTTCAGACCCATCAACCTGGAAGTTCAGATGGTTTTATTGATATTCAGCCTGTAAGTCAACCTTCATCTTTGAATCATGCTCAAGTTGTTTGCTTTT